TTGGGTAGAATTGACATTTTCACAATGCTGAGTCTTCCTATCCATGAGCAAGTTATATTTTTCCAGTTATGCAGGTCTCTTTTGGTTTCTTGCAGTAGTGTCTTGTAGTTTTCATTGTATAGGTCATTTATGTCTCTGGTTAGATTTATTCCTAAGTATTTTGTCTTCTTGGGGGCTATTGTAAATGGTATTGATTTGGTGATTTCCTCTTGGAGGTTCTCTCTGTTGGAAACACACATTTATTTTTTGCCCTGGTGGTGCAGTGATTAAGAGGTTGGCTGCTGTAACCAAAAGGTCAGCAGTTCGAATCCACCAGCTGCTTCTTGGAAATCCTATGAGGCAGTTCTGCTATGTCCTGTAGGGTCATTATGAGATGGAATTGACTCAACAGCAATGGGTTTGTTTTCTTTTTTTTTTTTTTGGTTATGTGCCAGGCACTATGCTAGCACTTGGGGTATGGTATTCAACATAGTGAGCACGGTTCCTGCCTTGATGGGGCTTAGAATCTACAGGGAATACAGAATACCATTGAAACACAGGTATGATGAGCATCTTGGAAGAGAACTCTGGGGAGTGGGGGAGTGTATAAGCATTGCCTCTGCCCGCTATCTCTTGACCATACTGTCTGTATCAAACTAGTCCAGGCAGACTGAGATCATCTCCCTCTGATGCCAAATGTGTGGTAGATAACAAATTCCACTCCACACGTAAACTGTATCCTAAAAAAATCTCAGCTTCTCTTCTCCAGTCAGTCTAGACCCCAGCTGCCAGCACAGCCCTTTCTCTCTCATTTCCACTCACCTGTGCCAGGTCAGCAGGTACTGGCCTCTTCTCTCTCTCATCCCTGTTTACTCAGCACCAAGTCATCAGGAACCAGCCCCTTCCCTCTCTCATCCCCATTCACTCAGGGCTAGGTCAGTGGCTACCAGCCCCTTCTCTATTTCTTAGGCCCAGTAATCTGTTGGAGCAACTCACAAACTGTAGGGAAAGGGCTATCTTTTTGTTTTTTGTTTTTTTACTCTTTTTTTTTTTATTGTTGTACTTTAAAAGAAGTTTACATTTCAAGTTAGTCTCCCATACAAAATTTTTATACATACATTGTTATGTGACCCTAATTGCTCACCCCATTCTGTGACAACACACTCCTCCTTTCCACCCCTGATTCCCTATAACCATTCAACCAGCTCCTAACCCTCTCTGCCTTTCCATCTCACCTCCAGACATAAGCTGCCCCTTTGGTCTCTTGTATCTACTGGAGCTAAGAGGCACACTCCTCACGAGTATC